TTACAATTAGACATGTTCTGATTTTTTATCATTTTGTGTAACATATTAATAATCTCACTATGGGACGTTTTGACTGATGGCGCCCCATTTTGTCTATATTTAGTAGTACAGAATTATCCCGATACTGTATAACCTTTACTATGCTGCTTTTTAGAGACACGTTATTAAAGCTTCTCGTTAAGAATCTCGTCGCTTTTGGAGCTAAAACTATATATAACGGCTCTCTCACTTAATAGTAACGATACCCAGGTGCAAATATGTCAACAAATCTGCAATCCAAATTGGTCCCATCTCCACAGAATATTTGGTCACCGCCATCAAATTTATTACCAAATCAAAAAATTTTAATTTCTCTCACCGGTCCTCACGGTACTGACATTATTGGATGTGTATTAGATTGTATGGCAAAAAATGATTGTGAAATTGAAGACTTCATGTTATCTCGACTTTATCATAATGTTACTTTTGGGGTTTTGATTACCTTAAAATCCGATAATTCTGATTTGTTTCGTGATCTTGCTGAAGCTGCTCAAAAATGGGATGGGAGTTTAGCTTTTAATATTCACGAGCAGCAAGATATTTTACCAAAATCCCTCGAAGATGCTCCATATAAAAATCGCATTAAATATACTGCCACTGTATTAAACCAGAATGGTCTTACCCCACAATTTTTGGATGAGTGGACAAAATTATTACTTCGGGAAAAAATTTCTGTAGAAAAGATGCAAAGATTAAATGAAGGGAAATTATCATGTGCTGATTATAAACTTTCAGTACCGTCAGAAACGGATTTTGAACAATTGAGACAAGAATTATTTCAGTTGAGCATAAATCATGGAACTGATGTTGCTCTTCAACCGTTTAACGTGTTTCGAAGGCATAAAAGATTAGTAGTTTTTGATATGGATTCTACGTTAATACAACAAGAAGTAATTGACGAAATCGCTAAAATGGCTGGTGTTGTCGATAAAGTTGCCGTATGTAGACGCGTATTTTACGAGTTTTTTTTAAAATATTGAGTTTCTAAATTTTGATATCGTCGTTTATAAGGTGATCACAGAAGCAGCGATGAATGGAGAAATTGATTTCAAGGAGTCTTTACGACGTCGTGTTTCATTATTAAAAGGAACGTCAACTGATGTTTTACAAGCCATCAAAAAGATTCTTACTTTTACCGAAGGGGCACATCTTCTATGTAAAGCACTAAAGAAGATTGGTTTTAAATTGGCAGTAATTTCTGGTTAGCTACTTGGATTTAATATTTATTTCCAATTAAAATTTCATATCGTACGTTTATTACGTTTATTAATCTTTGATTCGTCTTAATTTATCCTAGGTGGATTTATCCCTCTTGCTATGCATGTGAAAAACGAGCTTGGATTGGATTACGCTTTTGCAAATCAAGTAAGATATTTTAAAAGTTAACTTCTTCTCGATAATATGACTGATCTTGCTTAATAAACAGTTAGAAGTTTCGCCGGATGGCTTAACGTTAACGGGAGAACTTGATGGTCCAATTGTTGATGGAGAACGCAAAGCTGAGCTTTTAGAGGTGATTGCTCAAGCTGAAAATATAAAACTTGAACAAGTTGTCGCTGTGGGTGATGGTGCAAATGATTTATTCATGCTGGCAAAGGCTGGATTAGGGATAGCGTTTAATGCCAAACCGCGTGTACAAGAAAAAGTATATAAATTTAATGATCTTTCATGCAAGTAAATTATTTGATGTTAATATTTGCTTTTTTTAGGCACGTGCACGAATTAATCAGAAAAGCCTGAAAAATATTTTATACCTTCTGGGGTATACTGACGAAGATGCAGAGCAATTATATAATGACTATTAATTTGTTAAAATTATGCTTGTTGATATTTTATCAAGAATCGATTGCATATATGTACAAATGTAAATTAGATCATATACACATGTCACTGTTATTCTCACATTAAATCAGATACTATATTGGAGTCATACATTGTAATAACAAACATTATAATATCACAAGCTTTTAAGCCGGGACGTTGCCTCGGATTGAGGCTTTTAAATTGTTTTTCGTATTAGTTTTTCAAATTATATTGATTTTTGTTTTTTGCATTAAAAACAATTGAAGTACCCTCTAAATAAATAAATAAATAAACTTTATGATTGAAGTCTTAGGTTGGATGTTTAGCTTAGCTTATCAAGTTTGTTGGTATATAGTAAAAGATCCAGATTAATGTTTAAGATAGTCTTTAAGTTGGATTGGTTTTCAAAGCGTTATTAGTTTGTGCTTATCATTATAAATAATATATAGCATAGGCGATTAAAACTCGAATATATTAATATGTATATATATATGTTATCGTTATACAAATATCCTAGGCTTGCAAGATTAGTAATGTAAAGATTAGTTTAAAATACTATTTTTCTTCACATAGTATTCAAATACAAATTAAATTAATTGAGATAAACTTTTGATTTATATTCTAATACTAATTCGGTTCTCTATGATGTTGCATTTCACTAAAAAAAAAAAAACTTTTTAATTTTTTAAAAGTATTAATTAAATAATTAACGTTAAATCGCGAAAATTACAGGTTTAATTTCGAAAATTTAATTAATTTCGCCGAATTACATACCTGATTTCTAAAATATAATTCCACCAAATTACATGTTTAATTAAGATTAACGTTAGTATTAACGTTAAAATAATTATGTATGCATTTACACGTATAAACGATGAAATTAATGATAAGCCACGAATTTGGCGTGTAAGTTCAATCACGACTCAGAGAACATAGACCGACATTGTTTGTGACATGACTAACCTTCAGACTCAACCTCAATCAGAAGGTAAACGTAAACGGGGCAGGCCACGCAAAAATACGAATATTGATGTGAGTTCTTTAAAGCGTATTCGGCTTAACCTGAAAGGTAAAGCAAAGAAAATCGAAACAATACTGTCGCCGAAAGTTACCGATAATATACAAACACCGGAAAGTAGTGATGAAATACAGCAGATAGGCACTCAACAAGAGGTAATTAGTAGTGAAGCGCAGCCCCTGGTGTCCACTCAAGAAGATGAAATATTGGATGAAAAAGGCGAGTTAAAAATTACCAAGGATGGTGAGCTTTTAGGCGGTAAAGTATCAATCTAACTTATACCTTAAAGTCGCGAAATAACACTCATAATTTCAGAAACTATATTATTTAAAAACATCATATTTTGGTTCTCATGTGCACCTAAAATAACGCGTATTTTGTATAACATATATTAGTATATTAGTGGATTTGATAGATGTACATCAAAATTTTGACCCTTTGTTTCGAAATAATGCACATGGGCGTCTCGAAATAACGCGCAGAATCAGTCATGATGACCTTACCAAAGTTCTGATCACATGCTATAAGCCATTGCGGCATCATTGCCAAAATCTATTATATAACTAAATATTAGATGCTGCTGCTGATTGCTGCAGTGGTGTATATCATATAACTAGAACTTCGGTTGTTCTGCGTAGGATGCGTTATTTCGGGACTATACGGTATCTACATGGCAAAATTTGATCATAATATATAATTTTAATAAAATTCATTCGTCATGTTCATGTAGGTCGAAAATTCAAAGTACCAGTTTTTCAATTACCCACTCGCGGAGAAACGTGGTATATGTGTTCCATGGATCCTTCTAAGGTCCTTGGATTTCGTGATAGTTATACATTTTTTACAAAAAATCCGTCATTAAAGAGAATTCCTGCAACAAACGAAGAACGTGATCATATGATTGCTGCTGGATTTATTCCAACAAATCTTCGAAGTAGACCAATCACTCTTGTATCTGCTAGATCAATTTTCAAGTTATTTGGTTCGAGAATTATTCAAGGTGGTAAGAAGCGACAAGATGACTATTACGAATCCAGATTCGAAGCAGAGCCAAATGAAGAAGATCAAAGTTCAGAAACAGAAAGCGCTAATAACGCTCTACTAAAACGCACGATCAACAATCATGTGGCAATAAACAAAATTATTAATAATGATCCATTAAGCTGGATGTATAGGCTCTCACTTTCAACTCGGAATTTTAATACCCAGTTGAAACTTATTCGACAGGATGGTATTAAATTTTATGATCCCCACACCAATATTGAGCAAGTCCCTCGAGATATACAACCCACAAGAATTCGAACAGAAATGATATCAAAAACAAGGGATAATACGATTATTGAATCAGAAATCAAGTTTGATACAGTTTCTAGAAATTTTCTTGGAATACTTAGTCCAGAGGTCATGAATGTTTTACCGGCGGATATTCGAAGCATTGTTGAAGTTATGAATAACGAAGAGATTACATTACATGAAGAGAATAAATACCCTATTGCATTGATGGATGGACAATTCCAAGCTTCATATCCGTTGTGAGTACACTTTATGGTTTTCATTAAGAATAGCAGCCCATGGTATTTAAGATGAATAAATTTTTCTATTTATCGTAAGATATAATTCAAGATTTCAACCTGACCCCTCCTCTAAAGTAAATAAATTTACGTCACCACATATTTCTACCGTTTCTTTGGTGACTAACGAGGATCAATTCCATAATCAGAACAATAACCAGGTACGCATAACGTCTCACTATTTTAAGAAATATAAATTATTAATTTATTTAATGTTTATGTGATCAGAATGGAAAGAGTAGCCTACAATTTAGTAAGGCTAATCCTCAATATATTTGTGCGGTTATAACTGCAACAACTGGAATGCCATGCAGGCGTGCCGTGACAGCAAATGGGGAAAGATGTATGTATCACAGGAGTACACCACGTGTGACTTGTCACACTGATGGGAAATCATGTACTAGTGTTAATTTCGAATCCGAAGCTTCACGTTTGGCTCAGGTAAATTTATTGTTAACTAGTTAGGATTAAGCATACAAAAATAAAATTTGGTTTTGATAACGCGGCCAAATCAATTTGTGAAGAACGTTTTGTATGTTACTATTACCGTATAAGCGTAAAATAACGTCCATGGCGTTGTTTGGATCAAAGACTGCACATTAAGCCTAATTCAGGTTATTTTACGCTTATACGATAACCGGGCCGATTTTAAATTCTTACAGAAACCAACCAATTTGTTTTGTGTGGCCTTATGTTTTTAAGAACTATACTTCATTGAATCTTTTTTAAATTAAATATTAGCAAGCTGTCGTGACAGAATCATGCACAATTACTTCAGAATCTAATGCACAGTCCATTGCCGTACCTTCTGAGAATGCTTGTGCACAATGTTTATCTGCTACTGTTCCCTTACCAGTGATTTCGTCTGATGGCGTATTACCATGCTCAAATGATTATACTATCAAGTGTTCTCATTGCCAACGCAAATTCCATCCGTTCTGCTTAACCCTTTCACATTCAAGACTTTCAAGGCTTTTGGTAGCAATGGAAAGTTACCAATGGCAATGTAACGATTGCAAGACATGTGTTGTATGCAGGTCTTCTGGTGACGAGGCGACATTGCTGATTTGTGATGATTGTGATCGTGGTTGGCACCTTGATTGTAGTTCACCAAAAGTGACCGAAGTACCAAACGGTATAAATCATTATCAGTTTTACAGGTTTTTTTTTTTTTTATGCATAATTCAACTTAATTAATTTAACAATCATTTTAGAGCTTTGGTTATGCTCACTTTGTGCACAATGTGATTCATGCAGTGAAAAGGCAGCTTCTTTAAATAACGCAGCAAATAATTATCATCATGTCAAAACAACGGAGGCAACAAACTACCCGATTCATTTAGCCACTGTTTGCAATAAATGCCAAAGCAATTTCACACAAGATCTATTTTGTCCAATGTGTCTCAAAACTTACTCAGAAGATGGGCAAGAAAATGATGACGACAAATATATGGTCTGCTGTGATGGATGCGATCGATGGATTCACGCTAGGTGTGATAATACTCTCACACCTGAAAAATATCAAGAATTGGCAGATATTCCGGACGCTAAATACATATGTCCATTGTGCGAAGGTCGTATTCGACCACTAGAAGAAGGAAACAAGAAGCAACAAAACGCTTTGTCTGGGAATCCATCGGCTAAGCCTGTGGCAATGATTCCAAACCATCCAATTCGAGGAATAATAAGCTATAAGGGAAAGAAGGTAGCTGTACCGGAGATTCGAGGATGGGAAAAAAATTAGGTTTATTATGTTTTGTCATTTTTTGCAATTAAAATGGGTTGGTGGTTTACAAGTACAATATTTATAGAAGCAGGATACTGATAATTTTTGATAAATGAAAAGTTAAAACATCAAAATTATCTATACAAAAATACTAAGTAATGAAAGATGAAATATAATATTGTTTTGAATAAATGATCTTTACTATTCAATGTATATAACAATTAAAGATCTATGTAACTACCGAAGAGCTGAGCCAAACCTTAACACAATAAGCCCCATTTTGATTTTTACGCTCAACTTTTGCATAGTCAATCATAGTATTCTTTAAAGAATGAAATCTAAAACTACCTATAGATTTATTAATTACACTAGTTCTAGCAGAACCTTTACGAAGGCTCATTCTACCAGATATTTGTATTTTTACGCCAGAAAGATGAGTTGGTAGAATTTGTTGCCCTAGACGTGATAATTGGATCCACCTAAGCGCAGAAGTAGCATTAAGATCATTTTGTTGTGGATTACCACCAACCAATGGAATTTTTTTGAAAAGTGAACGCCGAATTTGTCTAAACCTATAACGCGATGCGTTTAAAGCGATGTATTGAGCCAATATCTTGCTATTAAGATATGGATAATGTTGTTTAATTAAATTAAATTCAACATCTTTGTTATATAATCTGGATAAACGTTCTTTTAGCTTATTTAAAGCCGTGGAGTTAAATATTTCATTATTTCCTTTTGTAGATCCATTAGCAGTATCTTCAAGTTCACGCCGTTGTCCTTGTGTTGCATTAGTATAATAATATTGTTGAAATACTACTTTTGTTGGTGTATGTTTAATTGTTATGTCGGATAATGTTTTTTGCATATAATGTTCTAATGCTGTCAAAGCATTCAAATCATAAATTATTGTGCGATTTCTCCGAGGGTGAAATAGGAATTGGTCAGATGTCCAGTTTATTTTACTTTTTAAACGAAGAGCTTTCGCTGTATTCATCTTCGATAACGAAAAGTTTAGAGATATAACTTACATTTAATATTACTGTATTATGCCAGGTAACAGATAATCTATTTATACTCTTATAGTATGATTGGTCGATATAAATCAATGCCCGAAAAAAATTTCAATTGACGGGATGATATGTAATTTTCCGGGGGCTTATACTTTGATAACTTAAATTTGACTGAAATTACGTTTTTGATTAATTGTTAACGAAAGAATCAAAGATGTAGTTTTGGCATTTTCCGGATGTAATGCCTGAAATTTTGATCATCAAAATGTAGAATTTTTTTTATCTACCCCCGATGACAATCATCGTGGGGCGCGTATGGCGTTCTTTTTATTTATTTTTTTTTAAATATTAATAATTAAAATAATTCTAAACTTGAAATTTATATAAATAGGCTTCGTAAAGCATTTGTCACGAATCAGTATAATCTCTTTAGAGATTCTATTCTTCACTATCGCGGAGAGTACTGAATCTGGATGTCCCATTTGTAGGCTGCATAACAGCATCAGATTTCATATATGACAAGTGTATGTAGCCATAGGATAGTTCTATATGTTTTTGTTTTTTCTGTAGTGTTCTTTAAAAAGATTTTTTCTATCATATCTGATATAGTTTCTGTTTGATCTGTTTTTAAGAATTTGTATGCTTTTGTTCAAATTAGTTTATTGATTTTGCATTTTACAGCAAAGTGTTTTATAGTTTGTAGATGTTCTGAACATCATGAGCATTCTTCTGAGTCTGTTGATATGAAGTGTTGAAGGCTATATCTTAATGGTAAGGTTTTGTAAAATAGTTATCAAATTATTTTTTTATTTACTATTACTTTTTGAAAAATTCAGTTTTGGTCATGTAATTGTATTATGGGTTTTGCTTGATTTACTGTTTTATAGTTGAGTTTTTTTAAAATCTTAACTGTAAATTTGATTAACATATTAAATAATTTTTTTTGATTATTTAGTTTTATTAGTTTTTAGGACTAATTAGACTTTGAGGTATTTTTTTATTTTTTTTAAGTTAAAAAGTAAAGTTTTTATTTTGTAGATTAAGTTTTTGATCTAATAGGTTGTATAGAGAATGTTTTTTGTATCAAAATATTTTTTTCTAAATAAGTAAAAAAAAGATTTTATTTTTTTTATTCTTATTTATAAAAGATTATTTAAAATTAGTTTAGATTAGTCTAAGCTTTAGTAGGTTACTAACTATTAGTATTTGTAGGTTTTTTTGTTTATAAAATTGTTAAAAGGTAAAATATTTTAATAGCATTTTGAAATTGTTTTTAATTCAATATATAATAAGTTTGTTAATTTTTGTAACTTGTATTTTACTTAATAATGTTAAGTATATTATATATTATATTTTTGACAAAACCTAAGAATTTGCAAGTATAATCTTTTTTTAAGTAACAAGTTTTTATATATATCCTTTTTTAAGCTTAGCTTAAGCTTGTTTATTTTTTTATTTATTTTTTTTTTTTAAGCAGTTATACTAGTATTTTATTAAAATTTTGAAATTACATTTGTAATTACATAAATGTTCTTAACAACTAAGTCTAGCATCATCTGACCATCTTAATAGTACCTAAGCACAACCTGTTGCATTATTTTAACAGAAGTAAACTACTTGTTTAACTATTTAAAATCTATAATAAAAGGGTCTTCTTTCTTTTATGACAAGTTCTAATATTATCTTCTGTGTTTCTGTTCTGATTTGTTCTTCTTTTTCTCTTATTTTCTTTTTTTTTTCTTTTATTTTTTGCTAATTTGCCTTTTTTTCTTTTTATGATCTCAGCTTCTTTTTTTCTCTTCCTCTTTTTAATCTACTAATTATTCCTACTTTCTTCTCTTATTTATTAATCTTCTTACATTAGACTCTCCATACTTGTTTATAAAATATATTCTAGGCCATACTTGTTATTATATTTGCAAACTGTTGTTTTGACTTTATATTTAGAAGCTGTCATAATCGATTTTGTGTTTCTTTTGAAATTAGGTCTTTAATTAGAGCTTCTCTTATTCTCACTTCTTCTGCTTCTATTTTATCAAAAAGCATTGTATATAACATATATAAAAGAATTCAGACTTTTTCCTCTTTACTAAGTTCCTTTCAGACTGTTGTAATAATCACTTTTTGGATTCTTTTTTATAAGTTTTCTTGTCCTTTGCATGTTATTAAATGCATCTGTGTTTCTTTGATTTTATTTTTGCATACTTGGTATTTAGTTGTTATATATACATCTAGTCTTCTTTGTTAAGTTCTTTTAGGATCAGAAGTTTGTCTATCATGTATTTTATAAATATACTTCTTTTGGCACTAATACTTCTTGTTATAAAATGCATTCCTTTTGTCATCTTTAATATTTTTCAAAAATATGTTCAATTATAAATTGTAATCTCTGATTCTGGTTCTAATTCTTTAATTGCTTTTGTTTCTCTTCATTCTGCTTCTAATCTTGCATTTGTTATTAACTTATATAGCAATTTTGCTAGTATGTTATTTCATTTGTTTTTCTATTCTAAGTAGTATTCTATTTCTTTACAACTAACTTTTTTGATATGTATTATCTTCTTGCTTGTTGCTTCTTTCTTTGTCAATTTATCAGCTTTATTATTTCATTTATCTTTACTGTAACTCTTTATTTAAACTAACTCTATCTAAATGTTTTTTGTTGTAATAAGATCTCTAATCTTTTTTATCTATATTACATTCTTCTTTTTGAAAATCTTGTTTTTATCTGTTTGTTCTAAACTTCTATTAATGTTTCTTATTGTTACATTACTATCTATATATATTTCTACTTGTTTTCTTTTTAGTATTATTAATATTATTATTCATATTGCTATTAGCTCAGCTATCGTTGGTGTTTGTTATCCTTCTAGGCCTATTGCTATTCCTCTTTTAGTTATTCTTGTGTTTTATTTGTTTGGACCTATCCTATATTCATTCTATTTTTAGTTGCTATATCTTTTTTTGTCTTTATATTTGCTATACTATCTATATATATTAGAGGCTTGTATTAGGTCTTACAACTCAAGCCAGGCCTGAAGCACAATTTTATAATTGCAGACCAGGCTGAAAAATTTGCAAAACATTATAATTGCAGGCCAGTGCAGGCCTAAAATTTTGTAAAATTATATAAAAAATTTTTGCAGGCCAAACTGAACCAGGTTAGCCTAAAGAAAAAATATAATATATATGGGTCAGATCAGGCTAGCAAAAAAATATTAACTCTAAATATAGGCTAAGCCAGATCAGAAAAAATTTAACCCTAAATGTAAGCTAGACCAGGCCTCAAAAATAAGCAATTTGCAGGTCTCTAGTATATATTATATACTTATTCTTGTCTCTTGTTACATTTTTTCTTAAGGCTTCTATTATTTCTTGATTAATGTTCTTATCTAGTCTTTGCTGTTTAACAATTTCTATTTCTAACTTCTTTATTGTTTTAATCTTTTCGAGTTCTTGTTCTTCAGCTTCTGGTCTTCTTATTTTTACTATTATCTGATCTATTGCTATATTAATTTTATTACTGTCTTGTTATTAATATATTTGGAACTATGTTAATTTTGTTGTTTATTCTGATCTACTGTTGGCAGTTATCTTCTATATCTTCTTCTGCTCTTGTACAGCTTTTACATCTCTTTATTTCAACAGCTAATTCATCTTCTTTACTTTGCATTTGCTAGTGTTTTATTAATAATTTCTTTTTCTTTTTTTTAATTATTTTTCTCGACTGCCTATAGTTTTGTGCACTATATATTATTTATTCTTTTCTTCTCTTATCTTCTGATATATTTTTCTATTTAATTTGCATTGTTTGTGTATTTTGTCTATTTGTCTTAAAATATCTTTTAATCTTTTTACTTTCTGACTTACTAAGCATTTTTTGTTCTAATATTTTGAACCAATCTGCTTTTTTCTCTTTGCTTAACAGGTTTTGGTAATTTTTTAATTGTTGTTATATAACTAATCATTTTCTTTTTGTATCAAGCAACTAGTTTAGGTATATTA